TTTAGCACGTAACTCTCGCCTACTGCTGCTTCTGAGAGCTGAAGCGACGTAGGACGGGCAACCAGGGAGGCTCTGAAAATGAGGGACCCAATATATATATATATATAACCAAATATAAGCCTCAGCAAGCTCAGATAGGTTTATGAGGGTCATCGCAGGCACAACTTTGTCTCGATCGCGGTTGCACATGAGAGGACCTCTACTAGCTGGCATGCTTTGCTTCTTCTGCCAGCTGAAACTCCTGAAACTCCTACCCTAGAGCCCTAAACCCTTAGACCCTAATCCTAAAACCCTAGACCCTAAAGCCCTAAACCCTAAACCCTAAACCCTAAACCCCTAAACCCTAAACCCCAGATGAACCCTTAAGACCATAAGGAGAGCGAGGGCAACGGGCATTGCTCCCCGTAGCGCCGCTGGATCGGCGCGGAGACTTCGGCAAAGGCCGTGGTTAAGCCTGGGTTCTTGTTAAGGGATGTAATTTAAGTTACCAGAATAAGGAAACCATATTATTTACTATAGATCCCCCTAAACCCTAAACCCTAAACCCTTCTATAGATCCCCATGATGGTAACTTAAGCAAAATCTCCTAACAAGAGCCCAGACGCTGCAAGAGCTGGTGCCGATGATCAGGGCCTGGGTCCTTCGGTTTCGGAGTCTTTTGGGGTTCAGGGTTTAGGGTCTAGGGTTTAGGGTTTGGGGTTCAGGGTATGGGGCTTAGGGTTTAGCGTCTGGGGTTTAGGGTTTGGGCTTCGGGGTTTGGGGTTTAGGGTCTAGGGTTTGGGGTTTAGGGGTTTTCACGAGTTCGAGTCGAGATACTTTTAGGAGTTGAGGTTTCAGGGGCTTCGGAGGGTTGTGTTTCGGCTGTGAGACTTATGACTTGGCTTTGAAGAGTTGGGAATTGAGCTTCTGGGTGCGTCCCGATCTCTGAAAACCCGGAACCCCTAGTTGCTTCTTAACCTCGAAACCTTCATGGCTTTATTCAACCGCACCTTAAAACCCTTAATCCCCCCAAAACTGAACTCTAAAGACTGAAACCCATAGCTCCATAAACTCTGAGCCCTGAACCCTAAGACCAAGAAAACCCTTAAACCCTGCGCCGAAAATAAACTCAAACCCTAAACCCTAAACCCCAAACCCGTAAAAATTGAAATCCAAAAAACACCTTAAACCCTACCACAAAGGCGAGGCTCTTCATGGCCACTGGCAGCAGAACCTCTCGAGCGATGAGATTCATGTCGGTTTCAACCATCTGCTCGTGCCCCTCCAGCTCTGGATTCGCCTTCCCAATTGGGGCAAGATAGGGTTTAGGGCTTAGGGTTTAGGGTTTAGGGATGGGGTAAGATAGGGGCTGCAAGAACCCGAAACCCCAAACCCTAAACCCTCAAGAGTCATAGAGGGGGATCCGTATGGTGATAGTGTTCCGTAGGAGGGGCGGGCATGGCTTTGGAAGTCTAGAGCTCTTCAGCTGTTGGCTTAAATTTCTGACTTAATCCATAAAGGGTCTAAAGCTTCACGGAGCCTTAAAAGTAAGCCCGACCCTTTCAACTAAACCCTATACTTTAAACCTAGGGAAAAAGCCCTTTAATCGCCGCACCTAGGCGAAAAAGACAAAAAAAATCACAAAGATGAAAATTGTCTCTCTACACCCTAAACCCTAAACCCTAAACCCGGGCCTTCGTGGGCAAGATGTGCCTGATGGCCGGACGCCCCTCCCAGTAGGTCCGGCCCTTCCTAAGTTTTCCAGCAAGCCCCTAATAATAAGGGTACCCTCTTTCCTAACATTCGGCTTTAATAAGGAGACCTAAACCCTAAACCCTAAACCTTAAACCCTAAACCCTAAACCCAAATAAAGAGGGCAAAAGGGCACTACTCACAAACCAAGCTTCTGACAGGGCACCAGGCGAATCACCAGCTTCGGCTCGTGGATGCCCAGGGCCTGAAAAAGAGGCTGCTTTTGGGGGGGTTCCCTAATACCCTAAGCCCTACTTTACTGGGTTGGGGCTTAGGGATTAGAGTTTAGAGTTTAGGGTTTAGGGTTTAGGGTTTAGAGTTTTGGGGCCCTGGAAAAGTACTTATGAATAGGTACCTCTGTAGGATAAATAAGGGAAATTTCAAAGTTTCCAAAAGTGCCACCTAGTTTAGGGTTTATGGGTTTGGGGTTGAGGGCTTAGGGTTTGGGGTTGAGGGTTCAGGGTGGTAAGGCTTGGGGTTCAGAGTTTGAGGGTTTGGGGTTCTTGAAACCAGAGACAAGGATCCTCCTGTTCGGTGCCTATACGGTCCCTCATTTTCTAAACCTCCCATCTCAAGCTTGGGGCGCAAACCTCTCACCCTAAGCCGTCGCCTAGGTGGCTTTATGGCGTAAAGCATTTTGCGGATTGAGGCCCTGGGCTCGCGAAGGAAGCTTTGAGGCGTCGCATAGGTAAATCCCACCTAGAACCCGAGCCTGAGCCCTCCGCAACCCCCTTAGAAATGAAGGGTTTGAGGCTTGAGGGTGGTTTGGGGTTTAGGGACTTGCTTTGCTGACGCAAAGCCCAGTCCCGAAGTCCCAAACCCGCCTCGAACCCCCGTAGACTGCTTCTAGAACGCACCAAAACCCTCTAAATCCACCACATAAAACCTCTAAACCGTAAACCCTAAACCCTAAACCCCTCAACCCTAAACCCCTCAACCCTAAACCCTAAACCCTAAACCCCTAAACCCTAAACCCTATAAACCTTCAGTTAAGCCGAGACATCTGTCAACACGAAGGCTTAGGTTTCCATCTCGGGTCCTGCACTGAAACAGGTGAGCTGCAGTTTAGGTCTTAGCGCTCGGGGGCTGAGGGTTGAGGCTTGCTTTTAAATTATGTAAAGTGTTTGAGGGTTCAGGGTTTAGGGTTTTGGGGGCTTTTGTTAGGGTGTAGGGCTTTTTTTGTGCTAGGGTTTAGGGTTTATTGCTCCGGGGTTTAGGGTTGCGGATTTCGGACGCGGGACGCGGAAAGCCTGATCTGGGATCACTCAGAAATCCCCCTCGTGCTATGGAGCGCAGGGTTCATCAGACCCTACATCCTCAAGGTTCCGCCCCAAAACCCCAACTCTCAACCCTACATCCCGGGATTTGGGGTTTAGGGCTTTGGGTCTTTATTTTGAGACCGCTTTTCTGCCTGCCAATCCAAGTAGAACGCCTGAAAAGCTGAGGTAGTAGTACGGTTTAGGGTTTAGGGTTTAGGGTTCAGGGTAGGGTTTAGGGTTTAGGGTTTAGGCTTTAGGGCTTACCTAGACCCTCCCTTCTGAACCTGCGCTTCCCCCTTGCCTCTCGGACCATGGGCATCTGAACCGGGGACACCTCGCAGGGGCGGGAGCCTAGGGTCTAGGGCTTAGGATTTACCAAGGCTTCAGAAGATGGCATACCTGCAGCCGAAAAAACCTACCTTTTTGCGGTTCCTTATTAGGGTGTGTCTATCCATCTATATATATATNNTATACATATATATATATATAGTTCCTCAAAATTGTAGGCCTGTTGGGCCACAGGTAGAGGGTATGTTTTTGGGCTTCCATCATAGAGCTCTTGGACGTAATGGGGGGGGGGGGGTCCCGAACTTCAGGGCATCTTCTTCCAAAGCCGTCTCCAGTCTGGACACCCACACCCCGAGTGCCCAAACCTGACGGACCCTGAACGCTAAAAACCTTCCTCGACCGCCTCTCCACTGAATGACAACCGTTGAATAGCAACCAAATCATGAATAACAATAACAATGCTGATAAGAATAACACTAACACTAAGAGTAGTGAGAGTAACAATAACTGCGCCAATGATACTGCGTTGCCTTCAGAGCCTGGTCGTTGGTAAAATAGATCACGCGGCTCGTGTGCAGGGATTCGCCCAGGCTGTAGTTCCTTTGTGGATTTTGCTAGGGTTTTTATAGGGTGTGGTACTACGGTTGACCTGCACTACCCATAATAAGGAATAGACCATAATTCCCATAGTTTAGGGCCCTTAACGTAATGCAGGATTTATATCATCAACAGTGGGGTTTGAGGGGGCTTTTCATGGCTCCAAAGCGGCAGGGTTCACAGGTTTCCGGGGGTTTCCTTATGGGGTTACAAGCTTTATTCGGGTTTGACAGGGGGTTACAGGGTTTGGTAGGTTTTACAAAAAGTTAAAACAGTTTCCAGAGTTTCATTACGAATTGAATTTTTTTAATAGGGTCTTAGGTTTTGCGGAGGTCTTTAGGGTTTGTTAGCAGGTTTGGTAGAGTTTCTAGAACCTCCGGACGGTGCTAAGGCTTTCGGGAAACCGGAGAACTCAAGACCTTCCAAACGGGCCCCTCACAACGGTTTAGGGTTTAGGGGTTTAGGGTTTAGGGTTTAGGGTTTGGGGTTTAGGGGTAGTCACTAATCCCTCACGTTCAACACCAAGCATCACAGACTCCACCATGTATCGCATGGTCTCCACCTAACCGGTGCCAGAACAAGAACACACAAGGAGAAGGACCGGACCTAACCTTTGGGCACACTGTATGTCCATAAGGGTTTAGGGTTTAGGGTTTAGTTTCTGGAGTTAGTCTCCCCCTAAGCCCTAAACCCCAAACCCTAAACGCTTACGCCTCCTCAACCCACTAACCTCCGACACGACCCAACTCGAGACCCCTCTGAAGCCCTAGATTCTATGCGTTGGCTTCTATCCTTGGTGGCATCTCCAAGCTTTGGGGGGAGACTAGCAGCAAGAACAACAAGAACAACATGCTAAATAAGAGCAACAATTTCAATAGTCATGCTAATTTTAGGGACAAGAATATTATGGAATAATACTAATGAAAACAACAACAACAACAACAACAACACCAACAACAACTGCTGCAGCAGCAGCAGCAACAACAACAACGACAACAACAACAACAACAAAAATAATAATATTGGTAGTAGCAATAATAATAATAATAAGAAGAAGAATAATAATAATTATTATTATTATTATTTGATAATAGTAATAAAATACTAAGAACAGAACACTCCTGCCTTGAGCCTGGCAAGCTCCTCCTCGGCGGAGCCGGGTTTCTCGGGCAGGTCCTCCTCCTGGGACGAATCTTTGCTTAGGGTTTAGGGTTTAGGGTTTAGGGCTTAGGATTTAGGGTTTAGGGTTTAGGGTTTAGGGCTCTTTCTTCAGGAGTTCGGTTGGGTTTTGGGGGGTTTGGGGGTTGGGGTTTTTTTGCAGTTTAGGGTTTAGGGTGGGGCTTGGGGCTTAGGCTTCAGGAGGGAACAGAGCTGTGGGTGTCGAGGCTTCAGGGGTGCGCGGCTCTCTTCTCGGGGGCTTGGGAGGAATTCCGGTCTTAAGGGGTTTAGAGTTTAGGGTTTGGGGTTTAGGGTTTTGGGGTTAAGGATACTACGAAGTTCAGAACCGACTAGGCTTCCTTAGTGGCTTCAGCGGTCTCAGGGGATTTACGGCTGTCTTTGGCGCCTTAGGCAGGCTTGGTGGAATTTCTTTTGGGGGCTAAAAGCTTGGGAAGCTTTGCGGAGTTTCTTTCAGGGATGAAGGGCGGTTGGAATCTCTTGAATGGTCTCTTGGGTTTAGGGTTTAGGGTTTAGGGTTTAGGGGGTCACCCTTTGCAAGGCCTTGTCCGCGCGGGAAGAGGACGGGGAGGAGGGCTCACCGCGTGCCGTCTGCTTCATGCAATCCACGATGAAGCCCTGCACATTGTCGAACCTGGCGGGTCTTTTGTTGTCTTCATCTAAATACTAGACCCAAGAGAAACATAGGAATAAAAAGGGTGCCCTTTTTGGTTTAAAGGACTTTATAAAGGAACCTGAACCCTAAAACAGGGAATAAGGGCCCACGCTGGGTCCTAGAATACCACAACAAGCAGGTGCTTGTTGGGGTGGACCTGAACTTGAGCTTCGAAGAACCCCCTTGAAGAAAGCCCTTGGAAAGCCCTCTGAGCACCTAAACAGCCCTAAACCCTAAACCCCAAACCCGAAAACCCTAAACCCTAAAACCCTAACAAAGGCCCAGTGACTTCAGGGGCTGCTTCAGTGAGGCCTTCCGAGCGGCTCCCACAAAGGCGCCCGCCTCCCTCAGGGAGGGCGGATGGCCCATCGGAGGGATGAGGCCCGAGAGCGACAGGGAGGACTCCTCCACTTCCTGGATGGGGTTAGGGTTTAGGGTTTAGGGTTTCGGGGGTTTGGGGGGTTTTGGTGGTTTTGGGGGTTTTGGGTTTAGGGTGGTTGGGGGGGTTGGGGGGGTTGGGGGGTTTTGGGGGGGTTTAGGGTTTAGGGTTTAGGGGTTTGGGTTTAGGGTCTCGGTTCGAGGGTTTAGGGGTTTTTGGGGGCTCGGGAATTTAGGGTTGAGGGGTGCTGTTAGGAATGGGAAAATGCTGCGATCATTCCGGAAACGCGTCTAAGCACCAAGAAGATCTCTAGACAGCAATCAGGCATTGAGATCGCTGTCCTTCATGGCCTTCTCCACCTGAGTTGCCGGCAACACAAGGCACTTCTCTAAAAGAGACGCCTGAAGGGCGACAACTGCTGAAACAAATCCTGCTCCAGCCCACGTTGCCAAACGAAAGACGTTCAAGAATCTGAGCCTCCTCAAAGCAACACTAGAATCACTAGCACGAAAGCTTGCTCTGCTCAAAGCTAGCACTCGTCAGCCACAAATCCGCATGGGTCGAAATCCCAATGCGCAAACCCCAGAACCAAAGCACAAACCATCAACACCTGAGACCGTTAAACCCTAAACCGGAAAACCCTAAGCCCTGCAACAACCCGAAGGAACCCTTCTAACTAGAACCGTTTGGCAACACTTTAGAACCTGTAGAGTGCTTTGTACCCCGAACCCTTATAGAACCCTTATAGAACCCTAATAGAGCCCGAATAGAGCCCCCTAAACCCTAAACCCTTATAGAACACTGACAAAGCACCCAGCCACCTCTGCCGAGAGCTTTTCGGGTAGTATTCCCGCCAAGGCGGTGGGACCAGGCTCGTCCAGTAGATCCTTGGGTGACCTTGGGCTTAGGGTTTAGGGTTTAGGGTTTCGGGTTTAGGGCCAGTAGATCCTTGGGTGACCTTGGGTTTAGGGTTTAAGGCTTAGGGTTTAGGGTTTCGGGTTTAGGGCCAGTAGATCCTTGGGTGAGCTTGGGTTTAGGGTTTAAGGTTTAGGGTCTAGGGGTATACTTGGAGCTTCATGGGTAATTAAAAATGGGGGTTATAAGTCCCTGTCTGATATGGGGTCATAATGAGAGCTACGCTACTTAAAGCTCCGCTTGAATCCGCCCAGCAAAGGTTGGCTAGAACCCACTTCGTGGGAGGCTTTGCCCACGGGTTCAGGGATTGATTCAGGGTTTAGAGTTTACCTCGACCCCTAAAATCTCACCTTTTTAAGGACTCATATAAAGGAACCATAGTAGGGATCCCAAAAAGGTATGACATTTGGGGTTAAGGTAGGGTTTAGGATTCTGGGTTCAGGAGTCGTGGTGCAGTTTCCCTAAAACCTCTGCTCTTCCCCGTTTGCCGAAGCTGTCAGAGTGGCTGTAGGTTTTAGGGCTCGGAATGTTCGGAGCGTGCGGAGGTTGGTGCTTGCTTGGAGGATCAAGGGACATAGTAAGTAAGGTTCCACTACAACTAAATTCATTGGGGGATAGAAGTGTCTCAAATTAGAACTAACTTTTTTTGCACCCTAAACCCTAAACCCCATGATCCTGTAAGTAGGGATTCGGGTTGTGATGCTTGGGTCCCCAAAAAAAGCGTAGATCGAGGTTTCGTGTCTATCCTCCGACATCCACCGCGAACCAAAACCCGGAAACCCTAAAAACCTTTGATCCATCTAAATCTAAACTCCTAAACTTTGAACCCTAACCTTCAATCCCTAACCTAAAACCCCAGTAGATTGAACCCTGAACCCAGACTCTAAGCCTCTGAAGCCTTCAACTACCCGAGACGAGGTGCGCGGCCGCAGTCGGATCGGCTCCTCCATCCTTTCTCTAGAGTTAGAAGTATGGGCCCCTAATAGGACCCGGAGGCCTTTCCAGGGACCCTTAAAGGTATCTTTAGGGTATATAGCGGGTGTATAAGGATGCCCGGGTTAAGGGCCCATACTAGAGGCCCATGGTTTCAACCTTAGACTTTCAGAAGCAAAGACCGTGAAGGTTCGTTCCTTTGAGAGCTTCCTTGAGGGCTGCTGTGCAGGATTTATAACCCGGGGTTTCCTTTGAAGAGGATCCCTTGCAGGGGCTACGATAGGGGGATTTAGGGTTTAGGGTTTCGGGTTGGGAGGTTCCTTTCAGGGCTACGATAAGGGATTTAGGGTTTAGGGTTTAGGGTTTGAGGGTTCCTTTCAGGGGTACGATAAGGCATCTGTCATAAGGATCTCCCTTGCGGCATCCTTTTAACTTAGAGTATTTGGGAAGGAGTCTGCGCAAGGCATGCAATGTAAGTGTGTATGTATGCGTGCATGCATGTGTAAATGTGTGTACAGGTGAATACCTATATATGATGATGCAGTTGCAGTTGTAAGTGTATGTATATGTTTATGTGAATATATTGTGTATGTGTATGAGTATGTGTATGAGTATGTGTATGAGTATGTGTATGCATGTGTGCACGTGTATATTTCTCTGTTCATGCTGCGACTGACTGCAGCTGCACCAGTTTGCCAGAGGGGCTCAGCTGCAAAGTCATTAGGTCTGTTCAGATCACGCAACATGTTGCCACCCAAGACAACATAAAGAAAACTCATAAACAAAGAAAGTATAGTGCGTATGTCATGTAAGGCATGTATGCGTGTATGTATGCCCTCCAGATGACCCGAAGCACCAGGGCACCTCGTGTCCAGCGCTTGGCGGCGTCTTTGGGCCCGCAGGCGTCTCAGTGCCGGGTTGTTCCTTGAGAGAGTCTTTCACTGCTGCTCATGTTGAGTGTCTCGGAAGCTAAGATTTCCTGCTTTTTGAGGGGGTTCTGGAGATGTTCAGGGCTTGAGGTTTAAAGGACCTGAAGTGTGGGAGTTTGGGGCTTAGGGTGTGGGGCCAGGTGCTTGGAATGCTGGACTCTGGCTTCTCTGGCTCTTGAGTTGCTGCCAAGTTGCTAACGGCTGGCCTCGTCAGGGATGAAGGGCTTTGTTGCAGATTTTTTTTACTACCAGTGAGCGTTGTGATCTCTATGATCTGAAACGGGCTCAAGACTTGTATCATTGCACTGTGATCATGCACGTGTGGCGAGTCTGCAGAAAGCTGGCCCTCCGTACACGCAGCCCCTCACACACTTCTCCACTCGACCCGAATCCCGAAGCCCGCTTGTCAGCCCTTGCCAGCCGAAGGGTTTAGGGTTTAGGGAACACCCACAAGGACTCCGCAACCCTGCACGCAAGAAACCCCGTAAACCCTAAACCCTAAACTCTTAAACCCTAAACCCTAAACCGTGCTCCAACCCCTGGAGATCCCACCAGGGATCCGTGAGTTCACAGACCTTAAGACCCAGGAAAAAAGGCGAGCTCTAGAATGTCTGAAAACCGTATAAAGCCTCCTCGAACCCCTCGAAGCATCTAGCTCTTTCAGGAATCCTCATCGTCCACGCTTTAAGGCACCCCTTACTCCTGAAAGTCCTGAAACCTCCTAAACTCCAAACCCTAAACCCTAAACTCCTAAACCCTAAACCCCATACCCCTAAGCTCCTAAGCCTCATAGACCCTAAACCCCAAACCCAAAGAGCCCCCAAAAGCGTCGAACCTAGGAGTCGCTCCGCTAAAAACGAGCTCGCAACCCTTCCCTCCCTATCAAACCCCGATGGGAGCTCTGAAACCACGGATACCCGAAACCCGAGACCCCAAACACTAAGACCCTAAAAGCACTGAAAAAGCGGGTTTAAGGCTTTAGGGTTTAGGGATTTAGGGGTTTAGGGTTTCGGGTTTCGGGTTTAGGGCTTAGGACGGTTTAGTCTTTCGGGTTTAGGGTAAGTGCAAAAACAAAGGGTGGGGCCTGGCAAATCCCAGGACGAGTCCGACGCCAGAGTGGTCAAAGTCGGTAGATCGGGGGTTGACATGGCAACTTTGGCACATGCCAAGGATTTAGGGTTTGGGGCTTAAGGGTCAGGACTTTAAGGGTCAGGATTTCGGGTTTAGGGTTTAGGGTTTCGGCTTTTGGAGTTTAGGGGTTTGGGGTTTAGAGTTTCGGGTTTAGGAGTTTAGGCTTCAGGATTTAGGGTTTAGGAGTTTAGGGTTTGGGGTGCAGGGGTTCATGAAGGCTTTATTGGAATTCATTGGGTGAGGGTGTTGGCTTGTAGGGGGTAGGGCAGCTTGACATGGAGCTTGAGGATTTGCTGACGGCATCTTCTCTCGCTACATCTACTACACTTTGCAGGTTCAGCCCAGTCGGCGATTGCATGTCGAACATGGAAAGCTTGCGGCTTCTCATGAAACAGACTGTCCACACCAACCACAGCTGGCTGATCACCCCTATTTGTCAGGAATCCCTAAACTACTTGTCAGGAATCCCTAACCTACTTGTCAGGAATCCCTAAACCGCATGAAGCTGGCCGGATGCCGCAGTGCGTCCCCCTACCCTTTTCTCGAACCTCTCGCACTACTCATACTATTTTGGTGCAGGAGACCTCCCTGTCGGGCCATAGGAATCTGTGATCGCTGCTTCGGTGTTACTTCCGAGCGCCAGTCTTCTGCGCGTCTGCAGTGGAAAACCTCGACGTGACGCCTCACTACTACACTAGCAAGCTCAAGCACAAAGAGCTGCTAGGACACAAAGGAGCGCTGTGGTGCTCCCAATGCGGCAGCTCTCTTCCCGCGCAGCGTTAGAAGCTTGCTTGGAAAGGCACACTAGATTCCGCTTTCCCTGCTAGCCGGCTACCGCGGATTGCCCTGGCATTGGCGCCGGCGCCAAGGACAGAACAGCGAAGAGACCCACCCAGATGTCCGTAGCACAAACACGCTGCTTGTCGGTTCCTGGGTAGCAGTGAATGGTTGAATCACCCAGAAGGATGGCAGCCTTCATGACGAAAGTGGCTCCCAGGATGGATGGTCTGGAAGACTCATTGGTTGATGGAGCTGTAGACCGCTCTGTTTCCAATGCCGGGAGGTCGTGGAAGTACCGCGACATCATAGCCCTGACGCGTGAAGAAGTGGGTGGCCTCCATCTTGGCCCTCTTCCTCTTCTTCTCAAACCTTGCGATCTGCTTGCTCACCCGCTTCTCAACGATCCCCTTCTTCTTGCAAGCCGCATCACCACTCAGCGTGGACTGCATCAGGACGGACAGGGCCCCATTGATAACGGCAATGTTGGCCACGCAATTGGCCGGCACGTTCAGGGCGCCTGAGTGGAGATCGAGGAAGCCATAGCACCAATCAACAGCGCAGTCTGTAGCATGATGCCACGGGCGGTACTGGCACAGATCTGCCTCTCCCTGTCAGTCACTGGCCTCTGATTGATGGGCGCAATCCCGAAGTGGAGGCTACATTGGCAAAGCGCCCAAGCCCATGATGCGGCCAATTGATTGCCCCTCGTCGATGACGCAAAGTACCTTCCCCACTTCCGTGCTGAAGGGGGCCATTCCAATTGCTGGTCAAATTCGCTGTGGAGTGCTCCAAAGGCATCCGAGCTTACCCCCGTCCAAACCATTGCGATGTGCGGAGCCAGCATCAGCATCACCATCGTCTTGCCCGTCCTCGGGCAGCTTGGCCGAATTGCGAAGTCCGGAGTGGCCGGAGCCTCAGACTGTGAGTCTTGGGGCTCCAGCAAACTGCTCGAACGGTGTCATCGCCGTGCCGGAACCCCGGAAGCTGTTCTGGCCATCTTCACCACCAGGCGCTCTTAGCACTGCGAAGTGGCAGTCAAGTCCGGCACATCTCTGCTTCCACCTATGAGCAGGGGGCATAGATGTTAACCACGTTTCGCAAATCTTGTAGGCACGGGGGAGGCTCCGCGATGATACCGCTGATGCCAGTCGGAGTTCCTCCTTACAAGTCGAGGGCTATGACATAGTATGCAACCACGCTATTGTTGACAGTTGCATGGTTGCTCGTTCCTTCCCGCTACTGGCTTACTGTGGCCATGCGGAAGTGTGCAAACAGAACGTGGGACACCACAACAAACAGGACACGGCAACAAACAGGACGCGGAACACCACAAAGCAGAAACACAGGAGCCCACCCGCGCTTAAGCTTATATGAAGAAGCACATAACTGGTTCATCAAGGCAGCTGAGGATGCTTGTCTCGCACTCGACTTTCAAAAAGCCCAGATGCTCGCACTGTCCCAGGGCGAGCGTCACGGAGGAGCCAGGCAAGCTCCAAAGATTGCTGGCCAAGACCGGCATCCCAGTCAACACCACAGCCGAAAGGTGCAACACTTCCTTCCAGGAGAAGCATATCCACGAGTACCCTGATATGGTGAAAAATCCACATTGTCCACGCCCTGGCAGATCTGTCCATCATCTCACCAGCACAGCATCGCCACGTCCACATCCAGCTGAAGCACACCTGAACAATTCAGAAACACGTGCACCCTAAACCCTAAACCCTAGAGAAACGTCGCTGAGAATGGGCTTTAGATATACAGAATCTTCAAACCCGCAACCTTCCTGTAGTTGCACTTGCTGGTGGTTTTTTCGGGCTGAACCCTAAACCCAGCAAGCTTCAACTGTAAACCCAAAAATCCAACCCTAAAACCAAAAAAACAAAAACTACCGCTGAAACCCTAAACCAAAAAAACAACCTAAAAAGAAATCACCCTGAAACAGCCCCCAAAAAAGCCCCCGCCTTCTCCCTTCCTTGCATCACTGCAACTGAATCTGGGGGGTGGCTTCGGCCGACTTCCGGGCCAAGCGCTTGTTCATGCCGCCTCTGCGGGTTTTGGACTTTCGGTACCTCAGAGAGCTCCTTCTTAGGGGGGGAGGGGCACAGTAGGGTTTTTGGGCCCTTTAGGTGGGGCTTGTCGGGTTTTTGGGCCCTTTAAGTGGTAGTGGTACGGTTTAGGTGTGGGTTTAGGGGCTTAGGCCCTTTAGGTGGGGCTTGTAGGGTTTAGGCCCTGGGTTTTTCAGGTCTTGGGTAGGTGGGCTTTAGGGCTTGGGGGTCTAGGGGAGCTTACAGCCTCACGACTCTTTAGGTTGGGGGCTCAGGGTTTGGGGTGTAGAGTTCAGGATCTGGGTTCAGAATGCAGTCTTTAGCTGGGCTCTTGTTTAGGGATTCAATTTGACTTACTACCATAACGAAACCGTATTAGTTACTATAGATCCCCCTATTATGGTAACTTAAATTAAACCTAAACCCTAACAAGAACCCAGATAGGGTTTAGGTGGAGGCTCTAGGGCGCGGGGTTTTGGTCTCATGGTTGACCTTCTGTTTCCGTGGTGGGGACCCTGCAACAAACGCACTAAGGCATCACCAACTGGGTTCTTGTTAAGGGGTCTAATTTACGTTACCATAATAGGAATCTATAGTAA